ATAATAAATACAGTTTTACCAATTAACAAACAACTAATTGGCAAAGAGACAATTTTTAGCGTATACGTAGCATACGGTTCAAAAACAGCATTTTTTTACTGTATTAAAAGTAAATCTATTTAGTTCGTAAATATTAACTGTATAGAGTTCAGAAATCGACAAAGCATATATTTAATTTTTATTCGTAATCTTTGCAATAGAATGAAAATCTGTTTCTAAAATTTAATTTAAAAATATATCGAATTTGTTAGGATTTTTAGCGCAAGAGCAAGAAATTCGTTGTTCAGCTCGTTGTGTTGATGTTTGAAACTCAGAAGTCATCGGTAACTGAGCCACGGGCGAATGATAAAAAATTGTTATAATTAAATAAAAAACGATCTGATAATCCTACAACAGAGCGTTACTGTAAATATACAAGCATATAAACATAAACAGTTTACATAACAAAGCCTATTAGTCCTAATTTGTGATCCACCGATCTGATCCCCCACGCGTTAAGGGTTAAAATTCAAAGTATTAAAAAATATTTGAGTTAACATATTAAAATGAGTGTCTTAAACTATTATATAAAACCCATCATTGGATTGTAACACAATTCCCTACCAACATTTGGAATGAATTGCTCGATTGATGAATCATCAATCAGATAGGATTGAGATAATTTCTGATGGGCAGTCGGAATGAACGAATCGTGAACGAAGTCATAAATATCACGTGATTTATGACAACTGATGTGCTTTATCGGGATTATAGACTACACTCTACTAATCTCCATATTACATAGATAGAAAACATAAATGTATAAGTATTTCTTTTATTTCTTCTGTTCTTTCCTCTTTGGTTGATTAAAGACAATAAATTTTGGTCTTGATTTGGTACATGAAGGCATTTGTTTTTGTTCTGTGATAGAACAATGAATAAAGCATGCAATCGTTATGGCGAAAATTACTTGATTGAGCTCGTATTGTAAACTATTTAAATATAATTGAATTGAATACTATGTTAGCAGATGTTATATGCAGCATCGTTTCAAAAATAATCAATAGTCATCGTCCATATATATGCGTACATTATCTTATACTCCAAAAGGAGGATAGGGAAGTTATGATCATTGAAATTACCTAGTAATGATTTTTCAAAACCTGATATAATGTATATATATATATAGTGTGCGTTTCTTGTTTTTTCATTGG